AAGAACTCGTCGAGATCTACTCTACTCCTACTCCTAAGGGGTGGCCGGAGCAAAAAAAAAGTAATTGACTTGTATTTGGATTGATTGTTGTCTTACAATAGCCGGGGCTTGGTATTTATACCCGAGACCTGCGCATGACTCATGTCTATGCATGACTCATCACAATTTTTGACCCTAAAGAAAACATTCCTAATTTAAGATAACTTGGACTCTAATCTTTCCCTTTTTGTAGAGTCAAACATGTTTCGTCCTGGCACCGAACGTAGCCTTTGTCGTTATCCGCTGGCGCTATCTAAAGAAAGTCGATCCTAGTTTTTTGCATCCGAATCAGCTGGTTCCGATCTGCACGCAATTGATTCCTTGATGACATGATCTTGGGAGCTTTCGAGTCCCTGTGACTCTTCTTCCAAATTTTGGTGTAAACAATAGCAAAGGTATCATTGTAATGTGCATGATCATTTTCATCCCTTACTAGTATGCGGTTAGTGCATATAGTACATGCCTATTATAATCATGCATCACAAATGAAAATTTTAAGATTCATAGCCTACCACTATTGCTTGAATGATTAAATGATCTAGTGGTAGTTTATGAGTTTGTTCATGAGCTAGTGAACCCAAGTACTTGATTTAATTTGGATTGATAACAAGTGACAAGTACAACATTGGCAAGATAACCCTTGCAAGAGGTGTGAAGAAGCTTGTTATTGGTTCAAACCGGACTTGGAAACATAGGCAAATCAATTTAGTTCAAGTCAAGAATAGAAGCTCATGATAGTGACAAGAGTACATGAACAAGACAACAATGCAAATGGATATCTAGTATGTATGTTTCAAGTGGTATCTAGACTCAAACATTTTTTCAAGAAGAATTCACAAGTGGTGTCTAGACTCAAACAATGTTTCAAGTGGTATCAACTTACAAGTTATATCCTACAAGTGGTACTCATGAAGATAGAAAATGTTCAAGAAATGGTTTTTATTGACAAAACCAACAAATGGCTCCATGATAGAAAATTCTTCCAAGTGGTATCACATTTCTACATGTGGTATCAATCATACAAGACGGTGGTTCCACAGGTGATCATCAACTTTAAGTGATCATCAAGTAAAGCAAAAGTTCCCTCACAAACAAGAGCTCAAGTTTATCTAGTGGATGATCCATGCTGTGACATAGGGGGAGGTGCCCTACCAATTGGTATCAAGGTCAAAGATCGTACATGAGGTGTCATTCCAACATATGTGGTGTTGTCCATAAAAAATGCAAGATTCAAGTGTCAATCATCTACCCCAATGTAATCCTTTGTATCAATAAGAAGCACACCTTTTATGGAAATTGATGACAAAGGGGGAGAAGTTGGAGAAAAGATATGTAAATGCATCATGGGGAGAAGTAGTAGTTGGACATGGACAAAGAGGGAGCAACATTGAAGAATGGAGAAGGATTAAAATTCTTGGACAAGAGAAGCACACAAGTAGGGGGAGCAAGCTCATGAACTTTGAAGTTAGACATGGAGAAAGAGGGAGCAACATTGAAGAATGGAGAAGGATTAAAATTCTTGGACAAGAGAAGCACACAAGTAGGGGGAGCAAGCTCATGAACTTTGATTGGTTGCATTTGATATGTGCATATTCATGTGCTTGCTTGCATTGCATAAGTTTTTAATTGAATATACATGCTTGTGTGGTGTATGCTAGTTGTAGAACTTGATTGATGATTTGATAACTAGTATGCATAGGATGGTAGCTAGACTTATGTTTTTCAAGCAAAAACTAGAACATGCTTATAATGTTTATCTCACGGGGTTTCTAGTGTTGTCTAGCTACTCATGGTGCTAAGGATGGTGTTAACATGAGCACTCCGATTGGTATCACGCATCAAAGGTTAATTCTTTACACCTTAGCATCATTGGTAGTAATTACTCTCCCATAATTCCAATGTATGCATATGTGCGAGCTTCAAACCAAACAATCTAGCATATACGTAGGGGGAGCTAATACTACCAATTCGGGTTTGTGGCACTTGTCCAAAATCATTTACACATGGTAAAATTTCTTGGGCAAGCAACATGAATCCAAAAAAGCTTAATTTCCATATCTTAATAGAGTTATCATCAATTACCAAAAAGGAGAAGATTGAAAGGTCCTTGTTTGGTTTTGGTAATTGAGTGACAACCTTAGGTGGACTAATATGTGTTTGAGTGAGACACATAGGTGATTAGTCCACAAGTACATCATGTGTGAGCAACCTATGCCATGGAGGTGAAATGGCTTGGATATGTTACAAGGCTCACACATGTGATGAAGGAACTCATTATTGCATATGAGACATAACATGGAGTCATGTGACTAAGGTGAAGAAGATCAAGACAAGACATGGCTTGATGGAACGGTTGCAAGCGTGAAGGGCAAGTGAAGGCTTTGGAGCAATGGACCGCGTGGCGGTGAAGCTTGAGCAAGACTTGGCCCCGATGGACGAAGGCAACGGTGAAAAGCAAGTGAGGTCAAGATCGATGAACCAACAAGGTCACGTGATGATATGAAGTGGATCATATCATTTGTGATATGGTTGGTGCATGTGTTGCATCAACATTGGAGGAGATGGAATGGAATGCGCAAGGCAAAGGCATAACCTATAGGGCATTTCATTTCACCGGTCATAGGTGTAGAGAAGTTTATGACCAGGTTTAGGATAGATAGCCGTACTATCAAGAGGGGCAAACTTGTTTGCATATCGGTCATCTAGTACCACTTGAGCGATCTAACTTTGCATACATGTTAGGATCGAGTGGCGCGGTGAATTGAGTGACTAATCCTTTAGAAAATATTTGTGAAAAGCTAACACACGTGCACAAGGTGGTATATCACTTGGAGTGTTAGCACATTTACAAATGTGTTGGTAAAGATGAAGAAAGGAGGCGAAATCGGGCTTGGGGTGCTGCCCTAGGGGCACCACCACCCCCTATCCGGTGGCACCGCCACCCCTAGGGCGGTGCCTACTTGGCCTCAGTGCTGAGCAGCTAGGAGTGGGCGGTCACTACCCTGACCGGTGTTCATTCTTTAGACTAGCAAGACAAGTAGTACACACAATCACGCGTACGTGTTCATTCTTTAGAGTTGCATAGTTGCACATCTCTCATCCTAGTGCTAGCAACCATCTTTGTAGGGATAGGAGGTGCTTTTCTTTCCATGGATCCAAACTATCGCCGACGATCACAAAATGAAGATGAATTTATTTTCCTCATCCACCCAACACTAGAAGAAGGCACCTCACCCCAATCATCCGAAAAGAAAGCAATACACGATTCTATCCGAAATGAGCCACATTTATTCATGGAACTTTAATAGGGCATGAGGCCCTATGCAGAAGGTGGTTCCATATGAAAAAGAGAGATTTTTCAAGCTCTTGTTCTAAGATTGAGTGAAAATGAGCAGTTAGGCATATTCCTTTATGCCATATCAAAAAAATGCAGGCAATCGGACATTGCAAGATCAATTTCAACATAGCGGAGAAACAATAAGCCGCCACTTCAGATCAGTGCAAGGTCGATGCAGTATCAGGAACATGTCGTGGAGGTGAATGCGATGCATGAACTTCCGAACATTGTTTTCCCTTGTGAGATCTCACCACCCCCTTCAGATTGGGGAAAGCCAAGACCTTGTTCTAGTCCTGTAGACAGAAGGGGTGGAGTTGGTTTTTGTCCCCCAGATGCACTTTGAATTTGTAGATTCGTCATCTGTCCAAGCTAGAAGGCGGCGAACGTGTCCGCGTGTTCTCGTGTGGCTAGGGATGAGGCCATGGCGGGAGGGAGAAAGGCAGTGGCGGGAGAGTCGAGAGAGCAAGCACAGATGCGTTCTCTCCGTTCCCTTGGGTCGGAGTGGATTTTTTAGTTCCCATGTTTTGTGTGTGTATGGATACCTTTCCTGTGGAATGGAAGGTTATGTATCATTCCAAACAGCAGGTCTCCATTCCTTTCCTGCAAGTCCTATTCCCGTGAAATTTCCGTACGGATCCTTCGATCCAAAAGTGCCCTCATTTCGGTATGGCGGTCTATGTTGGAGTTGTTCCAAATTCACTCCAGGATATAGGCCGGGCTTCTGACGGAGCGGAGCGGAGGCCCGTCGCCGGAGGCTTGGGCCGGAGTGTAGCGGAGTCTGAAGCCGGCCCATCAGGTCTCACCCCTGTGCTCGTGGAGACTTGATTCTCTTGTAAGCCGACATAGGCGTTTAACCAAAAACTCTTGAGATAGTGAGATTGTTGCTGGCTGGTGCCCGTGGTTTTTCCCCTTCACATTGGAGGGGTTTTCCACGTTAAATCGTGTGTCTCCTCTGTGGCTTGATTCTTTACTTCATATTCCTATACGTCGTTCGTAACAGTCTATAGGTGGCGCTCCCATTGGTATGGGTGAGCAAGAAAGTGCAGTGTTCACCTCAAGTTTGTACAGCATGAAGTCTGCCATCACCTCCTCTTCAAAGGCACGTGTTGCTGAGTCACTATTGTCAGCACCAGGTAAGGTTTGGCCACAATGCCTTCGCCATACCCATTGTCCATGACCCATCAGCACTCAATCTCTAAATATGAAGATTTAACAATGCCTTGTTTACCATTTATTTTCTTTCACCTAAAATCTGGACCAGATAGAGAAGAAAGATGGATAGATCCACATATGTCCGAACTCCTTACAATATGCTTACTCACAATATGCTCATTGACGACATTTATGTCTCAGCCTCTCAGGTCAATGGGGAACTTCTCACATTTGATTTCTTTAATGCTCCTGCTATCAAGTGTCAAAATCCTGCTTTCTACAAGCAGTATTAATTCAATGGTACAAGAATCAAATGGATTACTTCCACATCGAATAGAAGCATGCAAAAGGGAATAAATGAAACCAAAAGATGAAAAGCTGGACACACAAATCAACTTTGGGTCCATTTTTGTTCTCTGAAGTATGATGCATCTTTTTGGGGACGAGCCATAAACTGACCAGGTAACTTGATCTAATTTATCTTTTTTCTTGAACCGAGTGTCTGGTTGCAACTTCTCCTCTTGTAAAATTTATGAACTGTGGAGAATGTTGCCTTCTCACTAACTTCAGTTAACCTGCCATTCTCTTGCTTGTGCAAACCCATGCTAGTTAGCAAATCCGATTTGTCTCCCTCTGTCTTCGACAGGTTTTTCTCTGCTGTGTTGTTGTTTACTTCCTTGATTATCATTGTGCTATTCTGCGTCTCGGTACGCTCCGAAATCTTCACATTCGTCAAGTCTTTCCCACCACTGATATCTACATCATCTTTGGCCTCAATGTGCTCCTTATGTGAACCCTTGTCACGATCTGAAATGCTATCATTTGTTTGCTTCAAGATTTTCTTTGGCCTCCCTCTTCGTCGTTTCATAGTCTCTGAACTGATTCCTTTTTCGCATGTCGCTTCCACAGATCCAAACTTATCTCCTTCCGGGTCAGATTGAGTTAACCCAATAGCACCTTCAGCTACATGGGATATAGAAATCATTACATCATATGGAGTGGTAAAACAAAAAGCCATTAAACTGAATGCTAGAAAAATGCAACTCAGTCTAAGATCTTAGAGAAGGTACAGGGTATTCATATCCAACCCCTATCTATTAACAATTCCTTTCCATAGCATGCAAGGAGTATTACTCAGAAATTTTGAGTTTGCTTATACACCACAGATATTGAAAAAAGGCTTGTACCCATTTTTGTTTTTTTTTTGTGTGTGTGGTGGGGGGTGTGGGAGTGGGGGGAAGGGGTGTGTCAGACCCATGTGCTGGCTTGTTGTATGAAGTTCCACAGTGGAACATCAAAATGAGGTGTGCTAGCATATAATGAGCCCAAAATGCCAAAAGAGCTCCAAGTTAACCTTTTTCTACGAAAAGTGAGGATGCAAAGTGCTAGCAACATGCTATGCGTGCATAAACCATAACACGTGGGAGCTTTATGGAGGCTGTGCATTAGCATCTTTTTTCATTTGTCATGGTGTTACAAATATGCTTTACTTTTCAAGTTTGCAACCTATGCTAATAACCAAAGGAAAGATCAAAAAAGTTTTAGCTAATTTTCATCTTGAATAAAAAAGAGATAAACCAAAAAGGGTTTGGTTTATCATCATCATTGAATGATACTATACAAATTAATAACATTGCATACTATACAAATTAATTACATTGCATACCCCTCCTTCCTATAGCCATCTTCGTTGCTTTGGGTGTGTCTGTTACGTCCTTCCACCACGTGAGCGCACCAAAGTAACTACTCAATCCGTTGAGTGTTTTACTTGGGTACAGTACGGAACATAAGGGTTATCACTGCTATGACCCTGTTGCTCGTCGGATGAGGATTTGTTGGGATGTCACCTTTGATGAGTCCCGGCCTTACTATCCTCGTTCCTCCTCCGGTCCTTCTGGTACCGCTAAGTCCCTCTCGTTCCTTACTTTACGTGAGTGGTATCTTCCGCTGCTATCTCCACCCCCTTCGCCACCTCAGGTATCCTTTTCTCAGCCTTCGCCACCTGGCTCAACCATTGCAAGCAGTTCTTCTGGGGCCAGCGTACGCTTGCCTCTGATCGTGTCTAGCTCGCGTCCTACCACCTCGTTGGCGCCGCCCAGACATGGTACTACGCCCTGGAGCAAGACGAGGGTATGCCGTCTTGGGAGCGCTTCAAGGAGCTGGTCAACCTGCGCTTCGGGCCAGCGATCCGCTACAACCGTCTCTCCGAGCTTGCGCGGTTGCCGTTCCAGACATCATCGGTGAAGGATTACCAGGAGCGCTTAAACGCGCTGGTCTGCTACAATCCGCAGCTCATGCCATCCCAAAAGGCTGATTTGTTTGTGGGAGACCTTCCGGAGCACATCTGCGTCGACATCGCGCTTCGAGAACCCCAGGACCTGCAGACGGCCATGCACCTGGCCTAGGCTTACGAGCACCGGGCCGCTGCTACCATGCAAGAATAGGTGCCGCGGGCTCCTTGCCTCCCGCCGCGCCCACAGCTGGCACTACCCGCGCCGGCATGCGCTCCTGCCGCTGTGCCTGCGCAGCCGGCTCCGCAAAAGGCGCTGGCCCTGCCTCCGCCCCAGTGCCTATTCCGTGACCTGACTCTGGAGGAGATGCTGGAGCGCCATCGCCAGGGCCTGTGCTTCAACTGCGACGAGCCTTACGTCCAGGGCCACCGACTTCTTGGTCGATGACGTGGCCTACGATGAGGCCGCCGAGGTGGACTTGGCGGAGGAGCAACCTGATGGCCTGATTGTCTCCGTCCATGCCATCGCCGACATTCGCACCGAGGAGACCATGCACCTCCACGTCTACATATACGACCACCATCCACTTGCCCTCCTCAACAGTGGCTCGACCCACAACTTCATCAACGCTGGGGTCATGCGCCACATCGAGCTGGTCTCGACGGATAGCTCCATGCGAGTCACAGTGGCCAACGATGACCGCTTGGCCTGCTTGGGCGTGGCTCGCAACGTGGCCATGCGCATCGACAAGGAGTTCACCATCAGCTGTTTCGGCATTGACTTGGGCGGCTTTGATCTCGTCCTTGGCGTCGACTACCTTCGTACACTGGGGCCTATCTTGTGGGACTTCGAGGACCTCTGCATGTCCTTCCGACGGGGCGATCGGCACGTCCTCTGGAAGGGCATCGGCTCTCCGCGCGACGACATCCAGGAGTCGGCTGCGGTGGTGGCCGACCCCCAACAACTACTGGATCGCCTTCTCCAGTAGTACGGGGCGATCTTCGACGAGCCCCGTGAGCTTCCCCGGCGCACCCCTATGCACATCCACTTGTTGCCGGGTACAACACCGGTGGTGGTCCGTCCTTAGCGCTACCCGCAGCTCCAGAAGGACGAGCTCGAGCAGCAGTGCACCGCCATGCTAGAGCAGGCCATCATCCGCCCCAGCACTTCTCAGTTGTCGGCGCCGGTGCTCTTGGTCAAAAAGACCGATGGCTCCTGGCACTTCTACTTCGACTACAGGGCGCTCAACGACAAGACGTCCAAGGACAAATTCCCGATCCCAGTGGTCGATGAGCTTCTGGACGAGCTCCATGGCGCGCAGTTCTTCCCCAAGCTGGATTTGCGGTCCGGCTACCACAAGGTCCGGTGCACCCGGAGGACATCAAGAAGACGGCATTCCGCACGCACCACAGCCACTTTGAGTTCCTCATCATGCCCTTCGGTCTCTCCAATGCGCCTGTCACTTTTCATTAGTTGAAGAACTATGTGCTCCGGCCCTTCCTCCACAGGTTTGTGCTCGTTTTCTTCAACGACATTCTGATCTATGGCTCGTCGTGGTCCGAGCACCTGCAGCACGTCCGCCTGGTCTTCGACGCTCTTCACACCCATGGTCTCTTCCTAAAGCGGTCCAAGTGCTCTTTTGGTGCGTCGGTTGCCTACCTCAGCCACGTCATCTCCACCGACGGTGTCGCCATGGACAACGACAAGGTGGACGCCATGGCATCCTGGCCGGAGCCCCGATCGGCGTGCGTGGCTACCTGGGGCTAGCAAGCTACTACCGCAAGTTCATCCGAGATTTCGGCACCATCGCCGCGCCCCTGATTCACTAGACGACGGAGGAGGCTGAGGCGTTCACGGCGCTCAAGCGCGCCCACTCCTCCGGTCCAGTTTTGCAGATGCCGGACTTCAACCGACAGTTTGTCGTCGACTGCGACGCCTTGAGCGCTGGTTTCGGCACCGTTCTTCACCAGCAGTCGACCCTTTGCTACCTGCCACCACAAGCTCGCGGCTCATGTGAGCTGATCGGGTTGGTACAGGCTATGCAACATTGGTGGCCGTACCTTTGGGGGTGTCGCCTCCTCGTCCGCACCGACCACTACAGCCTGACGTTCCTCCTGGACCAGCGGCTCGGCTGTCCACTGTCCCCAACACCAGTGGATCAGCAAGCTATTGGGTTTGACTTCGCTGTGGAGTATCGTCCAGGCGCCTCAACTCGGTGGCCGATGCCCTCTCCCACCGCGACACTAACTCTTCCGCCAAGTACCCCAAGCTGCACGCCCAGTTGAGCCCCTCTTTTCGCCTCCTCGACGACATCCGCGCGGCCAACAGAGGTCGGCCGCCTATAGCAGCATCTGCTGGACGCCTCTCTCGAGGTGCCCTGGTCTTCCGATGATGGATTCCTCCTACACGGCAAGCGCATCTTTGAGACAGCACAACTCGATTTGCGCCACCAAATGATTACACAAAGCGCCGCTGCAAGACCATCCTGGACTCCGACGCATGTAGACCATAGGCTGAACCCCCCAAACCGCCATGTACCCGACCTATCTCGGTATAGAAGGAATAAGGTTGGACCCTAGAGGGGAGAGGACGATCCCAGACAGATCATTCTGTTCCTCATTGATCCGCTCCTGCTCAGCACCGAGAGCAGGGCAACCCAGAGAGAGGGGCACCGAGAGCTCCTCCACCGCACCCGTCGTCTTCCTCCTCTCCGACGAGGGGAAGGCTCCACCGGCAGCGAGGCAACCTCAGGATTAGTACCGAGCTAACCCCCTACCAAATCTCTCTTCCTCATGTACACTGTTGTAACCCACCGATTTTGGGTGCTTTTGAGTATAAGGATCATCAGCTACTGGACGTAGGACACCGATCGGCCCGAACCAGGATAAACCGTTGCGTCCTCTATGTGATTCTTGTGTTCTTGAGTCCACCCGAGCCACCAGAGACACGTACTCTGACACCGACTCGAATAACAATGCTTGCCGCGGTTCCGACCCCTAAAAATGGCAGCGGATCGGGTTCGGGGCGGATATCCGCGGTTTTCGGTTTCGGTTCCTAGTTTTTACCCACGGATTTGCGGGTTCGGATACCCAAAATACCGCGGTTTTGGGGCGGATCTTTAAATTGACCCGTGGAGCTCCATCGGGGCCCCGACTCTTTCAGCCCACCAGAAGCCCACCTAGGAAGCCTAAGTATATAAGCGTAGAATCGTTCAGCCCCCAACCCTCAGCCCTCATCCGCATCCACCCAGGCGCAGACACCGCAGCCGCACAGCCGCATCCGCATCCACCCGACGGGGTGACGAGCGACGGGCGACGGCGGCTCATTCCTTCCCCGCACGACCGCACGCAGGTACGGCGGCGCATCCTGATCGGCGACTCCGGTGTCGTCAAGTCCAACCTGCTCTCACGCTTCACGCGCAACGAGTTCAGCCTCAAGTTCCGTCTTCCTGCCGTTCCGCCGACCAGAAGAGGTGAGCCGTCCGTCCTCTTGCCCTCCTCGCTCTCGGCCGCCGCTTTCCATTCGTTTGTTTTCCTGCCTCTCCGCTGCTTCCTCACTGCTGGGCTGCTTACCGGTGCGGTGCTCGCCGCTGCCGCGGTCTACAGGTGCGGGGGGTGGGGACGACGCTGGACCTGTGCGCCTGCTGCTGTCTGCGGTCGCTTAGGTATGGTTCCTCGGCCGTCTTCTTCTTGCGCTTAGTGCTTATGAAATTGATCTATAGAGATGTGACAT